AGATGCAGTAATCAATCAGCCTGGTATTGCCATAAGGAGAGATATATACATCAATAGAACAGAATAGAGAATACAGAGACAGACTCTCACTCATATGGTCAATTGGTTTTTAGAAAATTCACCCAGGTAAGTCAATATAGGAAATATAATCCTTTCAACAAATTGTAGTAGAAAAACTAGATAGCTATAGAAAAAAATAATATTTGGCTTGTACCTCATACTCTACAGAAAAATTAACTCAAAATGTGTCATAGACTTACAGGTAAACTAAAATTATAAAACTCATAAAATAAAACATAGGAGAAAACATTCACAAACTTAGAATAAATCAAGGCTTATTGGACCTTACCCCAAATAACTCACCACAAAGAAAAAATAAGTAATAAACTGGATTTCATTAGAATTACAAATGTCTGCCCTTTGAAAGAAACCATTAAGGAACGGAAAAAATAAACCACTGTCTGGGGGAAAGTTTTCCCAGTGCCCATACCTAATGAAAAGTTTGTATCAAGAATATAAATAACTCTTACAGCTCAATTATAAAGAGTCTAACAACCCAAAGTACTTCAACAAACAGTATATGGATATAGGAATGACCAATAAGCACATCTACAAACGCTCAGTGTCGCTAGTCGTCGGGGAAATGGAAGTTAAAATTACAATGAGATACGACTAAGCATCCACTGGAGAGGCTGGGATGAAAAGACTGACAATACTAAGTATTGGTGAAGATATAGAGCAGGTAAAACTCTAGGAGTATGAAATGATACTATTCTCAAATCAGTTTGGCAGTTTCTCATAAAGTAGGACATATACTTAAATATGACTTAGCTATTCCATTTTTAGGTACTTACCTAAGAGAAATAAAAACGTGTATTCACACAAAGTCTCGTCCATGAGCATTTATAGCAGCTTTATCATAATAGCTCAAGCTGGAAACAACTCAAATGTCATCAATATATGAAGAGATAAACTAAATATGGTATAGCCTTACAACAAAAATTGTTCAACGGTAGGGAGGGATAATGAGTAATACATGTAAACAATCTGGATAAATCTTAAAAACAACATGCAGAGGGCGAGAAACCAGACCCAAGAAAACACAGTGTATGAGTCCGTTTATATGAAACTCTAGAGTAGGCAAAACTCATCTATAATAATACATCAGTGCTTGCCTGGGGCCAGATATAGAAGAGAGTTGATTGCCAAGGGGAATGAGGGAATTTCTAGAGATGATGTAAATGTTCTATATTTTCATTGGAGTGGTTCCGTGGATTCACCTATTGGTCAAAGGTCATTGAATTGTGTACTTAAAATGTTCATTATATCTTGATAAAATTTATTTTTATCTTTTCTTAGGGGAAAGGTATTATGAAAGAAAAAAATCAGGAAAATTTACCAGACATGTAGGATATATGTTTCCAGATTCTCAGTACGTGTCGGTTAAGATTTTTAACTTGTTTGATTACATCATATGTGTAATACCTTTATCGCAGTGCTTGGTACATAGAAGATGCTTAATAATCATTTACAGGACAAATACCTGGGTGGGTCCATTAATTCCTAATGTCCATTAATTCCCACTTATCATGAGTTTATAGATGCTTACATTGAGAAAAGGGAGTTAATAAAGAGCTTATAAAAGTACAATCTTCCTTTCTTCTAAGGAGGCCTGTCTCTTGGCCTGGAGCAAAGGCTGAATAGAGGAACCCACTGGAAATTCTAGTGCAGCTGCCTGGGCAGCAAATTCAGCTACTATACAAAGAGGGGCCCCAAGGCTCAAAGAGGAGAAAATGCAGGTAGTTAACAAGGTGAAATCTGGCTAATAGTGTGGGACTAAAGATCCAGAAAGAGCCTATTTAATGCAAAGCAACTTCCTGAAAGGAAGCCCAGAATTTGGCAAAATGCCCTAGGAGGCTGATGTCAGTGATATGAACCACAGGTAGAGAGAGGTCTGGGCCTGAGCCGTTCCACGGCTCCATCCTCTTGAAGACCCAAAGAGCCTTCTAAAGCTTCCTGCTCAACTGCCTTTTCACAACTGAGGATATGAAGGCCCACGGAAAGGAAATGACCTACCCATTGGTGCATAGGCACAGAATCACAATTGTCCCCAGGCCACCTACATTTTCATTACATTCCATGCCCAGAGAGCACAGAGAGAAAATCTTTCACACCGGCCAATTTGTGTGTGTTTTGCCTACCATTCTATACGGTTGTATTTGCCTGTCCGGTGCAAATGAAAATCAAACCATTTCAGAGCTCCATGTATCATGTCTGAAAATAGGCAGTTTCGGATTGTCTCCATTTGTGACGGGAATCGTGTTCCTTGGACTTTTCTCTGCTGTGAACTGAATCCTGGCTCCTTTGGAGGAAGGAGGGCATGAATTCCTGGGGCTAAATATAAAAAGGAAACCATTCAGCGCCTCAGGCGATTTCAACCAGCCTTTGGCCCCCCAGGTTGTTGCAGTGACATTTTGTTCATCAAAGGGTGGTATCACCTGGCACTCACGGGCTGCGACTGAATTGGTTTAAGCTGGCTTCTAGCTGACACCAGTTGCAGCTGTGGTTATTAGGGTCTCGAGCTACTCCAGTTATTGAACAGCATTCTTGTTTTGTGGCTATAGGTGTCACCTGACTGTTTATGGTGTGTTGCTACAATTAAAACCTATTTCTTGTATTTTACTACAAGCATTACATGCTTCTTTATAACCTTCAGTGAACATGCTCACTTCCTCATACACCTTATCTTACCACATCGAGTAGGTGCTATATGTGGTTGAGGGCCTACTCAGACAATAATTGGATGCTTTCCCTACATTGCAGGAAGGACTAGCCAACTGATCCTCTGAGGACAAATAATTTTAGCTCTTTGATTTAAATTTAAAAACTGAGTACCCCAAAATTAAAAATAGACCTACCCTATGACCCAGCAGTAGCACTGCTAGGAATTGACCCAAGGGGTACAGGAGTGCTGACGCGTAGGGGCACTTGGACCCCAATGTTCATAGCAGCACTCTCAACAATAGCCAAATTATGGAAAAAGCCTACATGTCCACCAACTGACGAATGGATAAAGACATTGTGGTTTATATACACGATGGAGTACGACGTGGCAATGAGAAAGAATGAAATATGGCCTTTTGTAGCAACGTGGATAGAACTGGAGAGTGTTATGCTAAGTGAAATAAGTCATACAGAGGACAGATTCCATATGTTTTCACTCCTATGTGGATCCTGAGAAACTTAACAGAAGATCATGGGGGAGGGGAAGGAAAAAAAAATGGCTAGAGAGGGAGGGAGACAAACCATAAGAGACTCCTAAAAACTGAGAACAAACTGAGGGTTGATGGGGGGCGAGTGATGGGTATTGAGGAGGGCACCTGTTGGGATGAGCACTGGGTGTTGTATGGAAACCAGTTTGACAATAAATTTCATAAAATAAATAAATAAATAAAAACTGAGTACCGCTACAGTAGATGATGGCATAAGGCACCATGGCAAAGTAAAAATAGCTCTGTATTAAGAATCAGGAGATGTCTGAAGGAAGTTGGGATAGGTGGCTGATGATCCTTGTGTCAAAAGGAAAAGAACCAAGCCCCTGTCTTAGTCTGTCCAGGCTGCTATACAAAATGCCACAGACTGAGTAGTTTATAAAGAATAGATATTTATTTCTTATACTTCTGAGATCAGAGTATCAGCATCGTCAAGTGACCGCCCTCTTCTGGGTTACAGATTCTAGGTTGTATCTTCTCATTGCAGAAGGGGCCAAGGAGCTGCCTTTGGCTCTTTCATGAGAACACTAACCCCCTTACGAGGGCTCCACACTCCCCACCTCCGAAGGCCACACCTCCTAGGGCCATCCTACTGGGCATTAGGATTTCAACGTATGAGTGGGTCGGGGGGCACAATCATTAACACCATTACAGCAACCATTGTTTATTGAGTACTGGTTGTATGTTTGACACTTATTATGCTCAATTATAAACCTTAAGCAACATAAGGACAGCTTTATATCTGTTTTGTTTTGTTTTTTTACTTTTTATACTGATGCTCATCAGAGTATCTGATACTTTTTAGTTATGCAACAAACATTTTTTAAATGAATGAATGAATGAATGTAATATTTTAAATCCTACTTTTCAGATTGGGAAATGTTAGGTAACTTGTTCAAAATCATACAGTGTTGTGCCGAAATGCTTAGGATCAAATTATGAATGGCCTCTTTGATTCCAAAGTGTATACTCTTCACTACACTCGTGGGCTTTTAGTCAACCAATAGATAATTACCTAGACAGGTCCTCGTTCAGGGGAAGGTTGATAGAATTGAATTACAATGTTAAGAGCATCATTAATTTTCCTTATGTATTAAAAAGTTGACAGTTTTACAAGGTAGAGAATCACGAGTTTTGTTCTGCATAGGTAATCTTTGATAAGCATGTCAGATAAGTAGGTAGAGAGGTGGAAGGGGCTGCTAGATATACGAGACTAGAATTCTGGAAAGCGGTGAGGGTGGGAGACATACATTGAGGGGTCTTTGACGTGTGTACAGAGTGTTTAAGCTCTGGGAGCCTAACTGTAAAGGCCTCTTCAAAAAACCGGTACGTGGTAGTTAGACAACCACAACATACTTGACGAGAACACTCAAAGTGTTCTCAAAGGATGCCCTCAAAGTGACTCGGTCTGATGACTGCTTCCCAGGTTTGGCAGAAGGGTTGAAAGCAAAAACAGTCTTTGCTGAGAATTCCGCCTGGCACAATATCAGATTTAAAAAATAGCAGAGTCGACTCAGCTACAGACTTAGACAGACCGAGAGTAGACTCAACCACTATAAGGCTCAGAGAAATTACAACGAGCTCTTGGGTTAGTCAAAACATAATAACCATATCAAAAGTTCAGATAAGTGCAGACTGGATATGATGACTTATTTCTTTTCTTCGCTTTCTTTCTTTCTCTCTTTCCTTCTCGGTTGGTTTTTTGTTTTTTGTTTTTTCCTATCCCAGAAGACAAAGCAAACTTCAACATGCCACACCCTGGAGATTTGATGTACTGAAGGTTCTGAACTCTGGCATTCAGTTACCACTGGACCACGGACTGTGTCGCACTGCAGTGATTCATCCACTGTCTGCCTTCTCCGCATTCTGGGCTGCTTGAGGGCAGGAACAAACCCACCCGTTAGCGTATCTCCAACCTCATAAAGTCTCTGGAGAGTCGTATGGAATCAGTCAGTGTGAGTTGAGGAAGTCAATGAGTACTCGAGAAGGTTAAATTCAAAATACCTAACAGGGAAATATGACCCAAAAATAAAAATAATTATTCCATGAAATTCTATTTCCAGAAACAGCAATGAGTCTTCACCCTGCGACTTTATAAGGTATTGATTACGAGTTTTCTTGCCACCAATGTTTGCCTCAGTTCCCTTTCTATAAGAACAAAGGATTTTATATGCACCACATAAGCTCATGGTGTTTCGTTTCTTCAAATCCAAACCCAAGGAACCCTGCCCTCAGGCTAGCCACTTGGACAAGTCAGCCATTAGCTGTGAGTAAATCTGGCCATTCCTCTTGACCTCTTTCTTTAGAGCCCAAGAACAGAAGAGGACTTTCTCTCTCCCTGATCAGGCTTTCCCTTATTTTACCCCAGGTGACTGACATATCTTTCGGGAGAACCCCCAATGGATTAAGGTAATTTTCTAGACATATAAATAAGTGAGGTCAACAAATAACTTGAAAACTATAAGAAAAATTTTCCAAAGGGACTTCTATCTTAATCTTTACTTCATATTTTTTACTTAGGCCATTTGTAAATATCTATTTGCTCTGTGCTTATTTATTTCTTGGCCCATCCCCCAACCAAATGTGAACTACTGAGGCCGGAGAGACCTTTTGGAGACCAATGCAATCTATATAATAGACCTGTCATCTATTGCACACTCAGAGCTTAACACAACACCTGACACTGAAAATGTGTTCAAAAGATATTTGTTGAATGCATGAATTATCTCCAGTCTTTCTAACGATTTACAAGTTGGACAGTATTATCTTTATCTTTCAGGGCACAATTGAGTTTTGGAGAAGTGACATCTCTAACGTAGTGAAACGGATATAATACTTAATTCTGTATTTTTTTTTTTTTATGCCAGTGTATCTGTTTCATCATATTGTACCACTCTGTCAAAGCTTGGTGAACATTCAGTGTTTGCAATTTTCTTTACCTCTGGCTGGTTTCCTAAGGTGTTTACACCTTACAATATTTAAAAAAGAAAAGGCATGCTTACTGTTTTAAGGTTCAAGACTTCAGAGAGTGAAAGAAGAAATTCAGGTAACTGGTAGACGGTGGGAGATATAAAAAAGAGATATTGAAACAAGAAATTTGGGGAGAAAAATAGTAGGATAAATGACTGCAGATAACTAACTAGCAAAAAAGAATATACAGTTTCCTGATATTTATAGTCAGTTTTTCTTGATTCATACAGCAGTCTCTTCTTACAGCATTTTAGTCATAGACAAGAATAATTCTTAAAAGGAGAATGTTAAATATTAAGACACATTTCTAATGGAGGTATGTTCCGAAAACAAAATTAAGAAACACGTCTTCCATTCAAGTTTGTCAACTCTCTTGGTGTAGTGACACCACGATCAGTGGAAGTCTAAACTGAAAGCAGGAGCTTGCTCAAATGTGCACTCTAGAATATATACCATTTGCTCTGTGATTTTAAAGACACCTTTTCGAGTGCCTCTGTTGTTGGATCAGGGAAAACAAACCAAGATACAAAAATAATAAAATAAAATAAAATAAAATAAAATAAAATAAAATAAAATAAAA